GGGTTGATATGTTGTGGGGTTGTTAACCAATGTCATAAAACAACATGTGTACTTCTGTTTCATTAGAAACTATTTGTTCTGTAAGCCTTCACCTGAAGTACAATAAAAAAAAAAAAATGGCCATTTGTATGTATAATTGGAGATCAGAAGCATGAAAGAGCTTTTGAAATAGATGGCAGTGCCCAGGTCTAAAGCCATAATGAGCATTCACACTCTGGGTGATATTGACCTCTCTCTGAATCCTGCCCTGAGTTCACTGTGTTGTTCTTGCTGTGTGTCCTCAAGTTGATTCCGACTCATAGTGACTCCATGTAACACAGTAAAACTGTCCCTTAGGGTTTCCTAGGCTGTAATCTTTAGCAAGCAGACTGCCACATCCCACGGAGTGGCTGGTGGGTTCAAAATGCAGCCTTTTGGTTGCAGCTGAGCATTTAACCACTGTGCCACCATTATTAGTCTTTCTCATGTCATATTTCTGGAAGTAACTTCAAATGAATTTCCCATGGCACCCTTTATGATATAAACATGCCTCCTCATTCCTATTAAACCTTGCTCACAAGTTTAATGGCAACTCCTCTTTAGGAAACATTTTGTAAACTCCAAATCTCAGTATGTGTCCATTTCATGCTTTCTACTTTATCCTGAATAGTTATTAAGTATACTTTTTCTTTCACAAAGTTGTGAACATGCTACACACCTGTTGTCAACTTCTAATGGTCCTATAACCAATATAGACCAATGGCTTACAAACTTTATTGTGTCTAAGAATCACCTGGGGCATTTAGAAAATGCAGATTCTTGGGCCTTACTTGAGGTTCTCTGAGTGATTCTGATGTACGTGGTCAAACTTTCAGAACTTTAATAGAGGCTATTCCTAACTTTATGGTAAGCTGCATTCCTAGAAAAACGCCATAAATGAAAATGGCAGCCAAGTCTGATTTTCCCCTATAAATCATAATATATATAGGAAGTTACGATTTTTACCAAGGGACTAGTGTTTACATTTTTAGAGATGTGACCTTTAAGATGGTACCTCATCACCAAAAAAAAAAAAAAAAAAAGGACCCCATGGAGTTGATTCCGACTCATAACGACCTTACAGGACAGAGTAGAACTGCCCCACAGGATTCCCAAGGAGCAGCTGGTGGATTCTGACTGCTGACCTTTTGGTTACCACTCAAGCTCTAAACTACTGTGCCACCAGAGCTCCATTTCATCATCGGTATGCTATAAATTACCAAGTTTTCTAAAGGATACACAGAACACACCTAAGAACACAGTAAACTATTATAAGGGACTTAATATAATATTAATATCAGTCTACCATACGAAGTCCTTTTTTCTTTTTAAATAATTCTTGCTTTATTTTTATTGCAACATAAAACATCTTAAAACCTGGCATTTAGAAGGGTTTTCTCTGAGAATATAAGCAACTCTAAGGAGACCTTTGATAATATTTTATCACTGGGTACTCTTTCAGAAATTAATCCAGAGTATTATTTTCCTGCAATTCTTTCATAACACTACTTTCCTGCAGCAACATAAAAACCCATTTGTGGACTTCTGTTTGGAAATAGAAGACTTGAGTGCTCATGAGTATATCTAACTCCACCTGCCCCGTTTCCCCTCAGCATAGGTGACCCACAGGACATTGCTGAGCTATTCAACTGTTTCTAACCTCCCAAAGCAGCAATTTCCTTGCGTTCAGCCTAAACAGTTGCCAATGTATTTCCCACCCTTTGATGCTTCACAATGTTTTTTGTTTCAGTGTCCAAAAGTTTTAAATCTCTGCCTTCAACAGGGGTCTGATGCAAAGGCAGAAAGCACAGTTTAATTTTGATCTAATAAATTATTTCCATTTTTGCCAAAAGTACTGTACAACAATTTCCTGACTTATGTTTACAACAATCACTAGGTCGCTAGTTTTTTACTTTATCACTTTATCTTGTTCAAAACATCCTCTGAGACACCTCTTTTGGATCTGCCTTCAATATCAGTTTAACAACAAAAAAAAAAAGAAAACAAAATCCATTAATCTCAGTTTCATAATAACTTATTCTCCCGTGGTTTCTTACTCTAGTTTCTTCTCTCTCTCTTTCCCTCTGTGCCCTTGTTAGACCTTATCCTCTTAGGCTATTCCAGGCCAGAGAGGGGCAGTGATGGTGCTTGAGAATAGAAAACCCAGGAGAAAGGCTCAGAACCAGAGTGCAGCTGGGCATATCTGAGCAAACAGTCTGCAGTCTGATCTAAGACCTAAGGCCATGTTTGTATGAGAAAGGGCAACTAGCTAACCCCTATAATAAGAATGAGTGAAGTCTCAAAACCATAAACCGAGGGCTCAGGAAATCTACCTTGTCCTTACTGTCCTACAGCTTAGACCTCCGTTGTCTTCCTTCCATCTTCCTTCACATGCCACTACCCAAACTGCCTTTTTTATACAGTAAAACCTGCCAAAGTCAGAAACCGTGTAAGGTGGAAACCTGTCCGAGAAGGAAAACTCAAATATTTTCCACTAACAGAGAGTGAAAGAAAAGTAAAGGCAGAAAACTCGCGAGACCCAGAAAAACAAGGCAGTCCCATCGCGTTTTGGCTCTCAAAGGTTTCCCTGTACCATGCCTCGCTTTACTACTACAACATTCAATAACTTTCAGGTGTGATTTCCAAAATTCAATCTCAGCTATATTTTTAACTATCAAATGATTCTATCTCATGTTAACAATCTACACTTAACACTGCAATCAAGAACCTTTAGCATCATCCATACCCAATAGTTCTCCATCTTCTACTTGTATATTTTCCTCACTCTATTCCACATGTTCCCTTACAGAATTCCTTCTGTCTTCTGACTATACTGCTTAAAGTGTCTAGAAAACTTGGATGATCACGGATTTATTTTTCATTACAAATGATTTATCTATCACCCACCAAGTATTAGTAAGAATTCAGGTCAAGGATATGCTTAATCAGTTGGGATAACAGTTACGAAAGTATCTTGAAAAAATACTCTAATTTAGCTTTTGAAATGCTACCTGCAATTAGGACCAATAAAAGTTAATTGAGGATTCTGAACATACATTATCAAACCAATCGTATCTAAGAGTTTATATGTTCCTACTAACCATGTGCAATAGTCCCAGTGCATAACAAGTTATGAAAGTGGCCTTTGAACAGTGAAAGCCAAATCTTTTATTACAAATATTCGTCTAAGATGATTCCAACATATTTGAAAGAGTCAGAGAGTTAAACCATGCAGTAACACATAGCTTTAAAATAGCAGTCCAGACATTAAGGAAACATACAAAGGTCAACAGTTTGGACTGATACAAATTTCAAAGGCATAAAAGGGTATTTTGAGAATATTAAAATAATTTGAGGCCTATTTACTTTATAAAAGTACTCACCTGACTCTTGCAAGTATCTATATACCAAGAAGTTGACCTCATCACTGCTTATACTCATCTTTATTCCCACTTAAACCATGAGATCACAACACAGGATATAACCCTAAAAATAAAACAAAGTTAATTAAGTATATTTTCTCAATAAAATATTTTTAAACAAAATGTAAACAATGTTGTAAAATCCATTTGATTTTATTAAACGACATAAAAAGAAGGTTCTGTATTATCTAATGATAACCCTAACAAATAAAGTTATATCCAATAGTTAGTGAAATGATTATATAACCAAAACATGGTTGAGGTTATTTTTCTGCAAGATAACATATTGGAAAAAATTATTTAAAATTAAGAGGGCTTCCGTATCATATTTTAATGATTATACCAAATGGCATAAAAAGTTGTTCTGCTTTTTCTCAACTGTTAAAAAAAAAAAAAGTAAATTTGAAAAATCAGAATATTAGTTACTTAGGAAAAGACTTATTTCAGTCCAAATTGGGCAGGACTCAGCGGCGCAGAGGGGACAGCAAGCCATCTACTTCTACTCTTATTTTGTCTAAATAATTTGGCAGAATTTGAAGTTTCTCTTTCTCAATTTCTGATCTATAATGCTCACATGTCAAAAAGACTCTAGATATGTATAAGGTAGAGAGGTTGGAATATAGTTGCCAAAACTCAAATGACATTCTCTTACTGGAGATACTTAGACCTTAATCACAGGGTGGGCGGGACACTTAGACATGACTTAAAATGTCTAATTATACTTGTCCATTCTTGTATCACAGAAACGATCTAACGAAGGGGTCAGCAAACTTTTTCTGTAAAGGGTCAGAAAGGTAAATATTTTATGCTTTGCCAGCCATACTATAATCTCTGTAGTAACTACTCAACTCTGCTTCTGTACTGCAAACAAACAAAAAACCAAACCCATGCCATCGAGTAGTTTCTGATTCACAGCGACTCTATAGGACAGAGTAGAATTGCCCTATAGAGTTTCCAAGGAGTGGCTGGTGGTTTCAAACCGCTGCCTTTTGGTTAGCAGCTGAACGCTTAACTACTGTGCCACCAGGGCTCCACGAAGTAGAAGATGGAGATCTATTAGGTATGGGTTGTAGTGCAAAGGCAGCTATAAAGAATATGTAAACAAATGAGTGAGGCTGTGTTCCAATATGATGTTAATAATGGACACCGAAATTTGAAGGATAATTGTCTTATTTAAAGGATATGCTTACATCTATTCAGTAAAAAGGGGTATCTAACATTGTGGGCCTTGGTAGACAGTCCTGCCACGTCATGGATGTCTTTATGATGCAGAGTTCACCATATATTTTAAAAGCACAAATTGAAAAGCATCTGAGGGGATTATTATGTGACAGAAACTGCTACTGTCCTAAGCTATGACTAAGCACTCATCGAAGCCCTGGTGGCACAGTGGTTAAGAACTCGGCTGCTAACCAAAAGGCCAACAGTTTGAATCCACCAGCCACTCCTTGGAAACCCTATGCGGCAGTTCTACTCTGTCCTATAGGGTCACCATGAGTCGGAATTGACTCCATGGCAATGGATTCTTTTTTTTTTTCTTTTGTGGGAGGGGGGAGGGTGGTTAAGCACCAATGAAGCTTATAGTTCAGAAAGGAAGAAAGTTAAATAAAGAGCTAATAACAATCTTCCAGCGGACACACACAGAGGATGTTCTAACCTCATTTAGCAGTTTAGGAGTATATCTTAGAGGAAGCCTAACTGGTGTTCAGACTGGAAGGCCTGTGGTGGGGGCAGAGGTGGTAAAGAATGTTTGGGCGAGGGGTGAGTAGGGAATGGAAACATTCAGTAGAAGGGCTGAGTGAGGCAGAAGATGGGTGTGTGGTTTAAGAGTGCAAGTGAGACATGAAGTAAAACTTGAAATGCAGGCAAGGACCATATTCTGAAGGGCCATTGAAAGCAGCACTAAGGGAAAATGAATTCACTGATTAAGCAGGGTAGGGCTATGACCAGATTTTCATTTTAGAAAGATCATGCTGCCTATAATATAAAGAACAGACTGGAGGGAAATTCGACGAGACTAAGGGAGTCAAGAGTGGAGGATGTTGCAGTAATCCAGAGGAGTATAGCCTGGATGGTGACAGTGGAGCTGGAGAGAGGTATTAAAATTTGGAAAATATTTAAGATGTAGAGAAGAAGCAAAGGTTTCTTTTCTGGACAACTGGGTGGGTGGTACTGCCATTTACTGAGATGGAAAACCATGAAGAAAGAATAACACAATTTCTTCATATAAGAAAAAGTTACCCCAAAAAGTTAATTCAAAGAGTACAATTAGTCTTACCTCACCTGAATTCTCAATATATACTTAATAGAATGGTTATGGTAAGCCCTCCTGATTTGGGCTCAGGACTTCTTTTCACGATGTTACTGTGGTATTGTATATTAGATGAGAAATGCTGTGGAGGGTATCTTGTTCAACCTTTATCCTCATCCCCAGTCACTCGTGCTGCAGGAAACTGCTCCGCCCACACAAAACCCAAAAAACCCAAACCTACTGGCATCGAGTCAATTCCGACTCATAGTGACCCTACAGGACAGAGTAGAACTGTGGCACACACAGTAGGTACTTAATTGCCTTTGAAAAGCCTGATGAAGTTTATGAAGATTTAAAAAACAAAACAACCAATTCCACCCCTTATGAAATTATAATAAATCAAATCATAACTTGACCATTCACAGAAGTCTATGCTAGAGTTCAAGCCATCCAAAAATAGCTACGTTAATTTAACCATGCTGGTTTCATGTTTCTGTTTGTCTGGGGAACAATTAATGACAATGATTTTTAGGATTTCCCGAAGTTAAAGAGACTGAGATAGGCTAGGTGGAATTCAAGGGAGGGAGACTGACAAAGAAAACAGAGTTAAGTATTCTCTTCCTCCAATATATCATTCAGTCCAGCACTCAGTTAATGAGCGGCACTGAAGGAGTCAATCCTCATTATTCAGATTCTGGATTTGCAAATCCACCTACTTGCTAAAATTTATCTGTAACTCCAAAATCAATACTCCCAGCACTTTCGCAGTCATTCACGGACACGCACAGAGCAGTCAAAAATTTGAGTTGCCTGATGTGCATGTTCCCAGCTGAATTCTAACAAGGCGATGCTCTACCTTCTTGTTTCAGCTCTCAAAATGTAAACAAGTGTCCTTTTCACCGTGTATTTACTGCCACATTCTTCTCATTTTTGTGCTTTTTTGCTGTTGACTTTGCTGTTTAAAATGGCCCCCAAGCATAGTGCTGGAGTGCTGTTTAGTGTTACTAAGTGCAAGAAGGGTGTGATGTATCTTACACAGGAAATACGTGTGTTAGATAAACTTCGTTCAGCTGGAGTTATAGTGCTGCTGGCTGTGACTTCAATGTTAATGAACCAGTGATACATATTAAGTTAGGTGTCTTTATACAGAAACACATATAAAACAAGGTTACGTATTGTACTGATCGGTTGATGGAAACTTTATGACTAGAGGCTTGCAGAAACCTAACCTTGTATCTTCCCTAGAACCAATGCTTCAGTATTCGCCAATTCAGTGTTCGTGACAACATTATAGAACGTAACTACTGCCAATAACGAGAACTAACTGTATTTACGATGCACAGCTTTTCAACAATGCCTGGTTCTAATAAGTAAATGCCATCAATGCCTCAACTTAAAGCAGTGATCAGTGGCGCTACAACATCACCTAAATGCATTCCATGTCAGAGAAACAATGCCACATACAACAGACCACAAGCACTTGAAAAATACATGTTAAAGTGATATAAATTATTGTCTGTAAAACTCTTCCAATAAGTGTATATTGCTGGTCCTTTTTTTTTTTTAAGTTACAACAAAACATACTGAACAAGCAAAGCAGGAAAGTTCTTATCTGTTCAAATTATTAACAAATGGTTAACTTCCATAGTCCATCCCATTGATGTTAGTGCTATGTCAGTTTCTGGCAATCAAAAGTAAATTTTTAAGGGAAAAGGGTGAATTTTTCAAATTTTAACAGTGTTTCAAAAGCTCTCGTCCACTTCAGCTCTACCCCTTACATTCTTAGAGAGAAGGAACCTCATTATTTTCCCTTACATCTTCTCTAGTGTATTCCTAGGATGGGCAAAGCACTGTGCTAAAGATTAGGAATAGAAAGATGAAATAAAGTCACCCCAAACCTTGGAATTTACATTTTTGCAGTAAAGGGGAAGGATAAAAACAAATATGTCTTTTAAAAGTGTTAGTGAGCCAGAGGTTTCAGTCACAGCTGCGGTAAATTACATAGACTCTAAAGCCTGCGTTTATCCACTTTCAAGGACACTTAATTCTAGAATATGGTTTGGTATGAAATTAATCCTTTCCAATCCTAACATCAAAAGAACCTGCAAAAAGAACAAGAGACTGAACAATCCTTGCTTTAAAACCTCAGTGTCACCCACTTGAAAAACACCTTAAAAGCCGAACTGCCGAAGAACAAATTAGAGACAATACCACCACTTCACTAGGAGCCTACTCTCTATGGCTTCGCAGAACCAGTTCATTGTGGCTTGTTTGTTTTATACAGCCAAGGTAGTTCCTCTATGGTGTGGTGTAGTCTTCACCTGCCCTGGGTGAAGACTAAATACTCCCATACTAGATAGCCTAGATTTCCAAGGGGAATGTAAGATATCTTACTATTGTATCTCATCCACTGTGACACCTTTCAGAAAAACTGTCTTCATACCAAGTCACAAAACAGGATTGAAACACTCATCCAGTCTTCACCCTGTATCATCCAGGTGTCAGGTCTGGTGGAGGGTACTATGAGCTTAACCACCTATGAAATAAACAGGATATTTGAAATAAACTCACATTTCCTAAAATCACAAGGTATTTATTTGTATGTTCTGCCTGATCTTACTTATTCATCCTTAACTAGTAAATTACTGAGTTCCAAAAAAATTAAGTATCTTTGTATCGACGTATATAAGAACTATCACACTAAAAAATTCTACTTGGGAGAGAATCTGCTTTTCTTAGAGCAAGTGTAAAGCCTGGCGGCAGTGCTTGCCTCGCTAGAGAACTTCAAATCTAGGCTTGCTGCAATTGGTATT